GCCGTACGGGTGATCTGGTCTCGCCAGCTGAGCTTGCTGTCCACCATGACCCCAAGGTACTTTGCGGCTCGAGTGGTTTGGACTTCAACGTTCCCCACCATCAAAGGCACGATGGTGTCAATCTCTTTTTAGTCAGAATCACAATCTCAGTTTTGCTCAGAGCGAGCGAGAGACCATGTTCTGCCATCCATGCGTTAATGGTTCGCATGACTCGATTTAGTTTCAGCTGGGCAAGCTCAATGCTACGTGCAGCTATTAAAGCCGCAACGTCATCTGCATACCCAACTAGGACAGTTTCCTCAGGCATCTCGGATCTCAAGAGGCTGTCGTAGGCGACGTTCCAGAGGTCCGGGCCCAGAGTATGGACCTTGAGCAGCACCAGAAGTTACATCCATCGTCCTGGAGCCTTCTCTAGTGTCGTAAATGATGAGGCGGGGTACCGGAGGTAGTCCTCTATCATGGCGCATGAGGTATGCCGGGACGTGGAAAATGTTCTCCAGGGCGTCCAGCATATCGCACCACCTCGCGGAATTAAATGAGTTTCGCACATCAAGTGTTACAAGCAGCACAACCCGACGAGAATAGTTGTTAAACTCCTCAGCTCTCATTACGGCTCGCTTTACCTCCTCAATAGCGTCAACCGTTGACCGTCCCTTCCTGAAGCCGTACTGACGAGGGGATAGATTTCCTGCAGCAACCACGGCTGAATTCAGTCGGAACCGGATCAACTTTTCCAAGACTTTCCCAGCAGTGTCCAACATACAGAGAGGTCTGTAAGAGGAGGGTAGGTCTGGGTTTCCTTTTCCCTTCCCCAACGAGCACAAGCCTAGCTGTTTTCCCAGCAGAAGGGAAACTTCCCCTCGGCCAGACAGGCATTGTACGTGCTCAAAAGGATTTGTGGATTTATTGAAAAGACTTTCTTCAGGGCCTCACCAGGTACCCCATCCGGTCCAGGAGCCTTGTTGTTCTTCAGGGATAGAACGGCCGCCTCCAACTCCTCGAGACTGAAAAGCGGTACGTCGTCCACCCTTCCGAACTCCCGCAATGGGCGCAGTGTGTGAGTCGGGAAAAGGGACTTTACAATCCTCTCCATAGAGGCCCCGTCCATAACGGAAGGTGGAGAGCGGGTGCCAAGCTTCTTGGTTACTATCTTGTAACCCAGGCCCCACGGATCGGAATCGACATCGTCCCTTAATTTCTCCCAGCAACTGCGTTTGCTCCGGTTAATGGCCCGGCGAAGAGACTTCCTAGCCACCTGTAAGCGTCAGACTTAAGACGTCTATCTTCAGGTTCTCTGGCCCTGGTAGCAAGACGTCTGGCTCTCAATGCTGCCCGGCGCAGTTCTGCGATCTCGGTTGTCCACCAGTACACAGGTCGCTTATCGCACCGGGATCTCCTGCAAGGCATTGACTCTTCGCAGGCCCGAGACTATCAGCCTCATCAATGATGTAACTGATGTCTCTGCGTGAGCCACGCCAGATGCAGCAGGTACCACTGGCTCTCCCCGTAGTATGACTTCGGGTGAATTTGGGCCACGTCCAGCTTTTTGGTGTTCCACCGAACGGGCACCTGCCGAGACACGGTAGCTTGTCTCTGATGACTATCCATGACATCAAAAATGATGTACTGGTGGTCACTGGCCGTATAATCCTCTAGGACTCTCCAGGCTCGTATCCCTCGGCAAGAGGGACTCAGATGCAAGCGTGATGTCTGGGATCGTTCCCCTCATTCCGGGACGCTGGAAAGTTGGCGTGTTGCCCTCGTTTATGACAACAAGTCCAGCCCTGGCAGCAAAGTCCAGGATGTACTTCCCCCGGGAATTAGTGAGAGTCATTCCCCACTCGACAGCCCTAGCATTGAAATCCCCCACCACGACAACGTGCCCGGCGGTATCGCGCACGCTCTCTTCCAGGCGGTCTATCTTTCCACGAAAGTCACGGATAGCCTCGTTGGGGGTGAGGTATACACTAAAGTAAGTGACATCCCCGCACCGGACCCAAACGAATCCTCGGCCCTTCGCGTGACTCCTCACCTGCACTTTAGCTGTATTACGAACCCAGAACGCAGCAGTACCAAGTGTATCGGGGAAACAAAAGAGATGGGTCCCTGTCCCGGTACTGGTACTGTTAGCTAACCAAGAGCGCGTCAACACCGTGTTCGAGGGCAAGCTGACTGAGAAGCGCCGTCAGCCGTCCTGGATCGATCTACATTGCACTGGAGGATCCTTATCTTCGTGGTTGGGCTTTCGCTTGTTGTAGTGCGCCTTTAAATGCACTGCACTGCCCAGGCCCAGCTATATGTTTAGCGTTTTTATCATTGAGGCCTTTCTCCTTACAGAGGAAACAGGTCTCAACTTTACAGTCCCTACGAGTGTGACCCACCTCCCCGCATCGAAGGCAGTTCTTGCCTCGGTCGGGCCCTTCGCAGTTTCGGGAGGAATGGCCGAAATCAAGGCATTTAAAACACCTCGTTACTTCCACCCTCCGTCTCAACCTGCAATTAACCCATCCAACCCTCAAATGCTGGAGTGCCAAAACCTTACTGGCGTTTGCGTCTGCCATTTCGGCGACCGCCATCCGCTGTTGACTCCGGTTTGGTTTCGTGAGCCACACCCTCAGACTAGCCGTTTGTCCGGCAAGCTCGGGGACAGCTTTTTTTAGGGCATCAATGACGTCATCCTCCGTTGACACACAATCCATATCCCGAACCTCGACGGACGTCTTGGGTTCGAGAGCACGAACGGTGCCCTGACCTTCCACAGCTGCCTTTAGTTCGGCAGCAAAGGCGGCTTTATCTTTAGACTTACCCAGTTCGAGGAGGACGTCCCCGTCCCGGGTTTGTCTAATCGACCGTACAACCGTGTCGGTTTGCTCTGGCTTAGCCTTGGCCTTGATAACACCCAAGACTTCGGCGAATGATCTTCCCTCCAAAGGCTTGACCAAAATTGCCTCAGTCCTGGGCTTTTTGGGCCGCGACTTTTTAGCGAGTGCCGAGCCAGGCACAGCTTGGGCCACGCCGGTCGACTGCGCCCTCACTGCCACATATGTCTTGGAGCCGACTTCCGCGTGCCTCAATTTCCTCTTCTCCTTTTTCGTAAGGCGCTTTTCCCACACAGTCCCAGATGGTGTTTCTACGACTGACCCCTTTCGGGAGCTACCCTCAATGGGTGTCGCAGGTTGCTGTGGCTGTTGAGGTTTCGCTGAAGCGGCAACTACGTCAGAGAAGGACCTAGAAGTCTGGGTCGCCTTGACCTTAACTTCAGGCTTTGCTGTATGAACAACCTCTTCTCTTTTTGGAGGGCTTTCTGATGTAGGCCTCCTGCGTTTCTTGGAAGGTCGCGCATTGTCGTCAGGTAGGGACACCACCTTCTCGGCGATCCTTTCCCTGGCCGCCTTGCTCACCAGCCGGCAGGCGAAGACAAAACCAAGGTCGTCCTCGAGCTTAGCCATGCCATTTTTAACCACTTGGTTAACTCCTCTCTGCGTCTTAAAGGTTTCAAGCATTGCCTTTATGGTCTGCTCCATGTT